GTAGTTCCCCACTTCAGGCAGCCCTGAAAAGTGTGTGGAAGTCCAAAGGAAGACCTTCAGAGGTAAGCTGGCTGGGACTTGTAGTTCCACGCCTCAGGCAGCCCTGAAAAGTGAGTCCCAAAGGACCTGCTTCAGAGGTAAGCTGGGCTGGGACTTGCAGTTTCCACAGTTCAGGAAGCCCTGAAAAGGTGAGTCCCACAAAGGACTTCAGAGGGTAAGCTAACTGAGATTTGTAGTTCCCACAGGGAAGGCAGCTCTGCTGGAAAGTCTTCATATGGATATTTCGGCTTGTGTTCTGAGCTGAGCCCCTGCTGGGAAGAGTAAACAAAGAGCAAGGAGGCTAGAAAGACTGGCCTAGTCAGTGGGGCTGGGAGCTGAAAGCCTGTCAGTTATTCCCACTTGTCCAGGTAGGGTGTGTTCACAGGCAGTAACGGACCAGAGGTCAGAGGCAGCAGGCCAGGAAGGTTGATGCTTGGGTTACAGGAGAGAGGGCCTCCAGGCCCCAGACCCAATCACCCTTCCCTAGCACTTTGGGGTCTGGAGCAGCTGCCCAGGCCTCTGATAGATGGTTTGTCTGGATTCAGAAGGTGCGGATGATTGGGCCACAGAGGCAAAGGGAATGGCACAGTCAGGGATCAGCTAGAGTCTGGGCAGTCCTAGTGGTCGCGGTCCTCCAGCAGGATACGATGACCAGGCTTTCTGAGAACCTTGGGAAACTGAACACCAGCCTGGGTTTGTGGTCTACCCCATGCCCAGGAGCCATGAGGCAATGGAGCATCCGGAAGGTGCCTACTGGTTTTCCATCATGGGCCTGAGCAGGGAGCATGGACCACCATCTCTAACCCAGCAAGCTCCAGACGAGCCAGCCTTCACTACCCCATGTGGCTTGCCTGAATCCTTGGGAAAGCTAGTTGGGGTTGAGGAAGGCACTGACCGCCACTCCTGCGGTCAGGAGTGGCCGCAATGCGCAGTGGACCTGGGTGCAGTTGTCCACTTTAGGGGCCTCGTGGTGCTCGGCCCTGTCTGGAAGAGCAACTTGGGCCCCCTGTCACTAGGCTGGAACAACACCGCGCTGTGCCCAGTCCGACAGCCAAGAAGGGTAACTGTCAGAGGGGCATGTCAGTGGTTCAGTTTAGGAAACCCATCAGTAAAAAGAGACCCCCAGAGGTCTGGGCATGGGAGACTGAGGCAGTTGAGACCTGGTCTGCTCCCCAGGCCAAAAAGCAGGTTACGTCAGTCGCGGGTACAGCTGGCTACGGTAAGACGCCTGGATGCGATGATCATGGCTCAGCTGGACCTGTGATGACCTAGCAGACAGGAAACTGGAGGAACTGGTGTCCTGGATGCTAGCAGGTAACGAGGACTGTCCATCTTGGATGAAGGTACCTATGGACACCACTGGGAGGCGAGGCCCAGAATTTGCCTGTCCGGTTCCGGTGCACACGGACGCTACTACCTTCAGGCCAGATGTAGTCCTAAGCCTGAGGAAGAAGGTAGGAGAGGGAAATCTTCTTCTTCTCTACCTCGACAAGAAGCTACATATTAATATGTTAGCAAAGGACACCCTGAGCCGAAGTGTTTTGTGAAACAGTGTGGGCACCCGGCAGTTGCAACGGGATTCGGATAGCCACAGCCGACTGGTACCCACCCGTGACCACTCACTTGGTCGGCCCAGCAGTGCTGCTGGAGAGAACGGCTTCCTGTTCAGATGGAATTCGGTTCTCCCGCAGTACAGCGGTACCAGGACGTCCCAAGAGGAACCTCTGGACAGAGGTCGGTTGCGTCAGGGAGAGAACTTGTAGCTCACTCCTTGGCAACCACTTAAGGGGGAGGTGTGGCAAACTTGCTCATCCTTGTTGGAGCGGAGTCCCCCTTTACACTCTTTTTCGTGTTCTGTCTGTGTATTTGAGGTCTTCCTGGAATCCTCACATCCCCCCCCTGCATTCCTGGAAGGCAAACGTTATCTTCTGGCAGATGGTGTGGGAGTCAACCAGGTTAAGACATCCTGTATCCAGCAGTCATAAAGGTTTGTAAAGTGTACTTCCTCCCCATCTTAATCAAGTTAAGATAACTGCACATTCTCAGGTAAACTGTATGTTTCATATCATGGGGGGGATGAGTTGTATTTAGAGTAGAGTTCCCCAATGACCACTCCCAAGTCAGAGCCCCCTCCCCTTCCCCTGAGAGGGACCTTTAAGAGAGTGAAAAGTTTTTGTCGCAGAGACACTCACACACACCGAGATCTCCCAGCAAACATCGTAACAAGGGGAGATCAAAGAACCTTTCTGCTCTGCATCTTGAATTTGCTAAACCAGGCAAGGCAAGTAACTTACCCTGTAATTTCCTTGTTATTCTATGTTTGCTGTGTCTTTATATACCATATATATATATTTTTGTGATATCTCTTTGTAAATATTTATTTTGCATCTGACGCTTTTGGTAATAAATCTTCTTTCTGAAAGTGTTAAACTGTTTCTATAGTGCAGAACACTGTACCTTTAATTTAAATGCCCTTGGAGTCTGCTGGGGAAGAGAAATAATACTGTCAGTCAGTATGACATGCAGATGAGTGCCGTCGATCTTAGAATCACCGCACACTTCACTCATTTGGGCAGTCACGGGGCCAAAACCAGAGTGTGGAGCCACAGTGTGGCGGTGGAGGCAGCAGCAATGGGAGGCCATACAGCACCCTATGACAAAAATGGAAACCACCAGCAGTGTGAGGAGACCTGAAAGTGGCACATGGCAGAGTGTGGCGATAGAGACAGCAGCAATGGGAGGCCGTACAGGGACCCATGACACACTCTGGACCTGGCAGCAGCATGAGGAGGCGGTACAGGGGCCCATGACAGATTACGGGCCTGGCAGCAGCATGAGGAGTCGGTACAGGGGCCCATGGCAGATTACGGGCCTGGCAGCAGCAATGGGAGGCCGTACAGGGACCCATGACACACTCTGGACCTGGCAGCAGCATGGGGAGGCGGTACAGGGGCCCATGACAGATTACGGGCCTGGCAGCAGCATGAGGAGTCGGTACGGGGGCCCATGACACACTCTGGACCTGGCAGCAGCATGAGGAGGCGGTACAGGGGCGCATGACAGATTACGAGCCTGGCAGCAGCAACTTGGACAGGAGGACGTTCAGCTTCTGCACCGTCGGGTGCGTGCTCGCAAACTGTTGTCTCTTGGAAACGGATTCCAAGAAAGACTGCTGACGGAATCCGTGAAGAGGAGTAGCAGGAGAAGGAGCATCTGAACGAGCGGAATATGCCAACAAGCGACAACAGTGCCCATGACAGATTACGGGCCTGGCAGCAGCATGAGGAGTCGGTACGGGGGCCCATGGCAGATTACGGGCCTGGCAGCAGCTATGGGAGGCCCGTAATCTGCCAGCACCCTATGACAAAAAATGGAACCCACCAGCAGTGTGAGGAGACCTGAAAGTGGCACATGGCAGAGTGTGGCGATGGAGACAGCAGCAATGGGAGGCCGTACAGGGACCCATGAGAGACTCTGGACCTGGGCAGCAGCATGAGGAGGCGGTATAGGGGCCCATGGCAGATTAGGGGCCTGGCAGCAGCTATGGGAGGCCCGTAATCTGCCAGCACCCTATGACAAAAAATGGAACACACCAGCAGTGTGAGGAGACCTGAAAGTGGCACATGGCAGAGTGTGGCGATGGAGGCAGCAGCAATGGGAGGCCGTACAGGGACCCATGAGAGACTCTGGACTTGGCAGCAGCATGAGGAGGCGGTATAGGGGCCCATGGCAGATTAGGGGCCTGGCAGCAGCTATGGGAGGCCCGTAATCTGCCAGCACCCTATGACAAAAAATGGAACACACCAGCAGTGTGAGGAGAGACCTGAAAGTGGCACATGTTTGGGGCATGATTCATGGCGGATTTAGTCAGTTGTGTCAGGAACTGGTGGTTTGAAATCCAGACTAATCCACGCCTGATTCATTTTCACAAACGTCAGTCTCTCCACACTTTGGGTGGACAGTCGTGTCCTCCGCGGAGTTGCAATACCTCCTGCCGCACTAAACACGCGCTCCGATGCCACGCTACTGGCCGGGCATGACAGCCTTTCAAGGGCAAATTCAGCTAGTTGGGGCCAAAGGTCAAGTTTCGTTGCCCAGTAGTCAAGGGGATTGTCTACCTCGGTTGGCAGGGTGCTGTCCAAGTAGGCCTAAGCTGTTGTTTGAGGTCCTGCTCCAGGTCCACCTGATGCTGCTGCTGCTGCTGCGGCTGGTTAGTAGTTTCCTCACTGCGCTGGTGAAGAAAGCTACTCATCATCGACTGCAGACTGAGGCAGCCGCTGCTGCTGGTGGAGCTGCCACTGCTCCTACCACCCCACCCCTCCCCTGCTGCCATGGCAGCGGAACACGAGCGCACAGGGCCCCACAGTGTCTGAGGATGGACGTTGGCGCAGACAGGCAGAGACCAGCTGACTACATAGGTGTTTTTTATAGTACGTTATTTTGGCCTCCCTCTCAGCAGGTGTGAAAAAGGCCACCATTTTTGAACGGTAGCGAGGGTCCAACAAGGTGGACAGCCAAAAGTCATCCCTCTGTCTGATGGTTATTATTCGGCTGTCGCTACGCAAGCAACCGAGCATGCTATGGGCCATTTGTGCCAAGGAATGCGAGGGACTCCCTGCCTCCATCTCCACAGCATACTGCCACGGTGCGTCTAGGTCCTCTGTCTCCTCTTCCTCCTCCTCTACCAGATGCTCCTGCTCCTCCACTCCTGTCCGCTGAGTGGAAAAACCACCCATTTCACTCAATAATTCCTGAGCACCAATGTCCTCCTCTACCTCCTCCTCTTCTTCCAGTCCTGCCCCCACAGGGGCCATGTGGCGTTGAGATCTGTGCGCCACGTCTACCGCACCCTGACCAGCCATTGTTAACAGCATTTGTTCCAGGACGTGCAACAGAGGAATGACGTCGTTCATCCCATAGTCCTGCCGACTCACGAATAGCGTGGCCTCCTCAAAGGGCCTGAGCAAGCGCAGGTGTCACGCATGAGCTGCCAATGGCTGACATCTAAGTTACACAGGGAGTACCTTTATCTGCTTTTAACATCAGGAAATCTGTGATGGCCTTTTGCTGTTCGTAAAGGCGGTCTAACATATGTAGGGTTGAATTCCACCTTGTTGCAACGTCACAGCATGAGGGAGTCGGTATAGGGGCCCATGGCAGATTAGGGGCCTGGCAGCAGTTATGGGAGGCCCATAATCTGCCAGCACCCTATGACAAAAAATGGAACACACCAGCAGTGTGAGGAGACCTGAAAGTGGCACATGGCAGAGTGTGGCGATGGAGACAGCAGCAATGGGAGGCCGTACAGGGACCCATGAGAGACTCTGGACCTGGCAGCAGCATGAGGAGGCGGTATATAGGGGCCTACGGCAGATTAGGGGCCTGGCAGCAGCTATAGGAGGCCCGTAATCTGCCAGCACCCTATGTCAAAAAATTCAACACACCAGCAGTGTGTGAGGAGACCTGAAAGTGGCACATGGCAGAGTGTGGCGATGGAGACAGCAGCAATGGGAGGCCGTACAGGGACCCATGACAGACTCTGGACTTGGCAGCAGCATGAGGAGGCGGTATATAGGGGCTTATGGCAGATTAGGGGCCTGGCAGCAGCTATAGGAGGCCCGTAATCTGCCAGCACCCTATGTCAAAAAATTCAACACACCAGTGTGAGGAGACCTGAAAGTGGCACATGGCAGAGTGTGGCGATGGAGACAGCAGCAATGGGAGGCCGTACAGGGACCCATGACAGACTCTGAACTTGGCAGCAGCATGAGGAGGCGTTATATATAGGGGCCCATGGCAGATTAGGGGCCTGGCAGCAGCTATGTGAGGCCCGTAATCTGCCTGCACCCTATGTCAAAAAATTTAACACACCAGCAGTGTGAAGAGACCTGAAAGTGGCACATGGCAGCAGAGTGTGGCGATGGAGACAGCAGCAATGGGAGGCCGTACAGGGACCATGACAGACTCTGGACTTGGCAGCAGCATGAGGAGGCGGTATATAGGGGCCCATGGCAGATTAGGGGCCTGGCAGCAGCTATGTGAGGCCCGTTATCTGCCAGCACCCTATGTCAAAAAAATTTAACACACCAGCAGTGTGAAGAGACCTGAAAGTGGCACATGGCAGCAGAGTGTGGCGATGGAGACAGCAGCAATGGGAGGCCGTACAGGGACCCATGAGAGACTCTGGACCTGGCAGCAGCAGGAGGAGGCGGTATATAGGGGCCCATGGCAGATTAGGGGCCTGGCAGCAGCTATGTGAGGCCCGTAATCTGCCTGCACCCTATGTCAAAAAATTTAACACACCAGCAGTGTGAAGAGACCTGAAAGTGGCACATGGCAGCAGAGTGTGGCGATGGAGACAGCAGCAATGGGAGGCCGTACAGGGACCCATGGCAGACTCTGGAACTTGGCAGCAGCATGAGGAGGCGGTATATAGGGGCCATGGCAGATTAGGGGCCTGGCAGCAGCTATAGGAGGCCCGTAATCTGCCAGCACCCTTATGTCAAAAAATTTAACACACCAGCAGTGTGAAGAGACCTGAAAGTGGCACATGGCAGCAGCGTGTGGCGATGGAGACAGCAGCAATGGGAGGCCGTACAGGGACCCATGAGAGACTCTAGACTTGGCAGCAGCATGAGGAGCTGGCGGTATATAGGGGCCCATGGCAGATTAGGGGCCTGGCAGCAGCTATGTGAGGCCCGTAATCTGCCTGCACCCTATGTCAAAAAAAAATTAAAACACCAGCATTGTGAAGAGACCTGAAAAACCGTGGCACATGGCATGAGAGACTTGG